AACCATAAAGTTGGTGGTTCAAGCTCACTAGCCACTCCTTAGAAACCCCATACAGGGTTGCTATGAGTCAGAACTGACTCAACTGCACTTAACAACAACAACAACAGCTACCTTTGAGTTTTAGAGTAGTCATGTGGGATCAAAGTTTACTCACCCCTATGTAGCACGAGGGACTCCTAGTTTGATGCTGTAGGATCAGTACTTAATTAAGAACCACAGGTTGGCAGTTCAAACCTACCATCCACTCCTTGGAAACCCTATGCAAGGTTGCTATGAGTCGTTACCGATGCCAAGACACTTAACAACCAATGTAACAGGAGAGGAGATTGAGGCTTGAACAAATGAAGGGACTTGCCTGAGGACCCAATGTTAAGATAGGACCCAGGCTTCCTGGCCTCTGGGCTGGTTCTGACTGTTCTGCAGGTCCTGACTCAAAGACTCCGCTGTGCCCTCGCTCTGGGAAAGGGCTCATGCCCTCACTGGTACGAAGCCCACACTCACTGTACTGGCCAACAGAGGCAGGGGAGCGGCACTTGTGACAGGGTGGGCTGTGGTAGAGAGTGGGGTGCATTGGCAGGCATCGTCACATGGGGTCTGACCTCCCTCTCTTTCCTGCTTCTAGCCTTTGGCCTGGGAGACCTTCCCAACTTGCTGGGCCTGGTAGGGGACCAGCTGGGTGATCCAGAGCGGAAACGGCGTCATGCCAAGCCGGGCAGCTATAACATCGAGGTGCTGTTGGCAGTGGATGACTCGGTGGTGCGTTTCCACGGCAAGGAGCATGTGCAGAACTACATCCTCACCCTTATGAACATCGTGAGTGTTGGGGTCCCTGGGACATGAAGGGGTGACTGGGCAGACAGGATCCATCTGACTGGAAGACTTGTCTTATGCCTGGTGTTTCCTGGGATGGAGTTGGGGAGGCACTGCCTGCTCTTGGACCCAACTGGCATGTTTTTGGCAGCTAGTTCCCTGGTGAAAGGGGCCTGGATTGGAGAACTGGCTGCCAAGTCAGTCCTGGGCCTGTAGCTATAGAAACCTGTGCTGAGGTGGCCCCCAGACCATGAGCTCCAGCCCTTGGTGAGTTGGAGCTCACGGACAAATTCAGGGAGTGCTTAGTCCTGGCTTCGGGCCTCGCTTGCCTTAGATTTGACATGACATCCCTGAGGCTCCCCATCTGGACAGCATGTTTAATCCCCAAGGGGCTGTCTATCTGGGAAGGGGGAATCCTGGGACCTCTCAGGGCCACTGTTTGGTTTTTTCATACTACTGTCTGCTGTTAAGGAGCTCTGGTAGCATAGTGGTTACGAATCAGGCTGCGAACCTTAAGGTCAGCAGTTCGAAACTATCAGCTGTTCCGTGGGAGAAAGATGAGGCTTTCTGCTCATGTAAAGATTTACAGCCTTGGAAACCCTGTACAGGGTCGCTAGGAGTTGGTTCCGACTCCACAGCACATAACCACCTCCACCATTTGCTGTTGGGTTTGTTGTTAAGATGAAATTAAATCACAGCTGTAAAGTATTTTATGCATGGCGCACTGAAGGAATGTGGTCTATAGTGCCATCATTAGCTATGTTATCGATCTTTGTCCACATATACGTTGTCCTTTGTCTCTTTATCTAAATGTGAGTTCTTTGAGGTTAGGAACTTTGTCTCATACTATTTTGAACCCCGGCCAAAATCAGCCCCTGAAACCCTCAGGAGCACAGTTCTACTCTGACACACATGGACTCATCATGAATAGAGATCGATTCCATGGCATCTGGCAGCCCATCACACACCTGGTAGGTGACCAGCGTGTGTGGAAGTGAGTGGCGTCTAAGAGACTAGTAGGCAGTCAGCAGGGAACAGGAGAAAGCAGGGAATTTTAGCTGGCAAGGCTATACAATGGATCTATACAAGAGGGGGTGGGGGTGGGGGTGGAAGTCAGCTCCAATTATTGGAACGCCAAAGAAGGGCAGGTGCCAGAAAGTCTCCTTGTTTGGAATTGGTTATGCTTCTGCCCCTTAATCCTGGCATGTGATTTGGGACACAAAAGGCAAAGGCTACAGCTTGGAGGTGTTAGAGGGAGTGGTGAAGAGACTGGGAGAATGAATATGAAATATCAACACACCCATCCCATTGACCACCCACCCAGATGCTCTAGAAAACCCGGGCTTAACCTAAGATCACCCAGCTGAACATTAATCACGTTAGTGAGCGGCTAAGCTCAGGAGCAGGAGAGGAGGGGGAGCAAGGAAGACCCCAAGGTGGTGGGAGCCTGGGTCCTACGGCCCCTGAAGCTAGAGAAGAAGAATCCAGCATGAGCAGACCCTAGTCACAGCCCTGTTGTTGTTGCTGTTAAGTTTCCAAGGAATAGCTGATGAGCTTGAATCTTCAACCTTGTGGTTCAAACTGACTTTGCAGTTCAATGCATTAACCCACAGAGCCACATCAGCACTCCAGTCACAATGCTAGAGCCCTTCAAATTGTTCAAAGATAATTTTCCGAAAAATGTAAGATCATGTCTCTCACTTAAGAAATAAATACAACTGCTAAAGAATATATTCTATTCACCAATCAAAGAGGGAACTAAGCAGAAGTTATTGCTGGTTGGTTGGTTATGTGCCATGGAGTTGGTTCTGACTCTTAGCTGCCCTGTATAGGGTTTCTGAGGCTGTACATTTTTTAAAAGTTTTTATTGTGAATTAAGTGATCGTTTGCATGGGAGAATGTCAGCTATATATTCATCCTATCATATTTCATCTCATTGCAATGATTGCAATCCCCTCCATGCATTATCATTCAACAGCATTTGCTTCCATTCCCTTTTTTTGTTTTCTTTTGGATGTGCATCAAAGCATTCAGGAATATATAACTATTCAAACAACCAAAGGGCATACCCCGAAAGCCTGCTCCCCAGCTGCCAGCACACAGCGCCTCTCTCTCCCTGAGTGAGGCTATAAATCTTTACAGGAGCAGAAAGCCTCATCTTACCCCCACAGAACTGTTGACTATAAGATTAGCAGCCCAACTCATAACCACTACGCTACCAGAGCTCCTTAGCAGATGTTCTAGCCAGTTCAAAGGACAGTTGAAAGGATGGAAACATTTATTACGATTACCTATTGCCATTGAGTTGACCTGACTCAGGATGCCCCCATGTGTGTCAGAGTAGAACTGTGCTTCATAGCATTGTTGTTATTATTTTTTGTTGTGATTTGGGTGCAGTTTTATAGAACAAATCAGTTTACATCCAACAATTCACACACATTTTTGTATATGCCATTGATTACAATTTTCCACAATGCGACATCACTCATTCTACTTCCTTCCTTGGGTTTCTCATTTCCATTCTTCCTCCTTCCCGATCTCTTCCTGCCTTCTGAACTTTGTCATTGGGCAGTTGCTACCCTTTTGATCTTGTGTGGTTGATTATTCTAAGGAATGCGTGCCTTCCTAGTGTTACTCTTCCCCTTACTGACTTGTCTGTTGTTTAGCTGAATATTGACCCATAGGAGTGAGTTCAGTTCCAGACGTGAAGTGGGGTGAAGGGCTATAGTCTCGGGTTCCACCAGTCTCTGTCCAACCAGTACACCTAGCTTTTTTTATATGATTGTGAGGTGTTTTTTGTTTTTTTTTATTATTTAAGGTTTTTATTGTGGATGAGTGAAAGTTTACAGGGCATATCATAAGTTTTACATTCAACAAATCATACACCTTGTTTTATTACAATGATTATAATCCTCTCCATGAACCATCAGTTATCAGTATTTCTCTCTATCCACTTTAGCTTTTTTAAAAACAAACACACAAACAAAGCCACTCAGGCATATATAATAATTTACATCTCCAAAGGGCACATTCTGCAAGTCTGCCTCCTGGCCACCAGCTCTTAGTCCCTCCCTCTCGTCTTAGTCCATGAATCTAGAGTCCTCAGCCACTCCCCCTCTCCGTGCCCCCATATGATTGTGAGTTTTGTTCCACATTTTCCTCCCATCCTATCCTGGATCTTCCAGTGTGATCCTGTTCAGAGCAGTTGGTAATGGTAGCAGCTGGACAGCATCTAATTCTTCTGATGTCATAATTATGGAAGCTGAGGTTTCAATGGTCCATTCGTCCTTTGGCCATTCACAACCAATCCCATAACCATTTGCACCATCCAGGGGCTCCTGGAAACATTTCTAGATCAGGAATATTGAAATGAATGTATAAATTAAGGCAAGAAAATTTTGTTTCCCTTTGAGTGGCAGGGAAGATAATTTAATCTCCACTGGAGGAAATGGTGGTTGGCTGCTAACCACAAGCTCCTTAGGAAAGATGAGGCTGTCTGCTGCTGTAAAGATTTACAGTCTCACAGTAGAAAACTGGAACAGACTTACAACAAAAGAAAAAGCTGATCAGGTCATTAAAAAAAACTTCCAGTAACAACAAAGTCCAGGTCCAGATGACTTTACTGGTGAATTCTACCAAACATTCAGAGAAGACCTGACATCAGTTTTACTCAAACTAGTCCAGAGCATAGGAAGGGATGGCAAAC